CCAAGCACAAAATTTGTAAGTCTACGACTGTACCTCATGGTGTCTCACTAATTAAAAAAAAAAAAAAACAATTTCCTTCCTCCCCACCCCAATCCCGACCCCACAGGATACTGGACTATTATGAAGGTGAGTTTGTGGGGCCAGGATGATGTCGGAGCTGAGATCAGGGCAGAAACTGGGGAATCGAGTTGATTCAAGTAGTGGTTCCAACATGGGAGCTCGTGGTGCCCAAGAGTCTATTCTTAGCTTCCCTGTAGCTATTTGGTGGAGCAACGGCCTGGGAGGCAAGCAGGTCCTACCCATCTGTAATGTTAGTGTCAGGGACTAGAGCAACAGTACGGTGGGCAGAGCGTTTGCCTTGTATGTGGCCGACCCGGGTTAGATTCCCAGCACCCCATAGGGTCCCCCAAGCACCATCAGGAGTAATTCCTGAGTGCAGAGCCAGAAATAACCCCTGTGACTCAAAAGGGGAAAAAAATGTTAGTGTCAGATGGAATTGTGTTCTTTTGGGGCCACACCCGGTGATGCTCAAACTGACCCCTGGCTTTATGCTCAGGCATCACTGAACCCCTGGAAGGGGCAGGGGACCATTTATGCATCTGGGAATTGAACTCAGGTCAGCAAAGTCAGGACAGCACCAAATCCCATCTGTGATATTTTGCCTGGTCCTTGAAAAAAGAATAATATATTCAGGGGTCAGAGCGATAGGACAACAGGTAGAGTATTTGCCTTGCATGCAGATGACCAGGTTCAATCCCTAGCATCTCATATGGTCCACTGAGGACCACCAGGAGTAATTCCTGAGTGCAGAGGTAGGAGAAACCCCTGGGCATTACCAGGTTCCCCCCCCACACACAAACCCCTCAAAAAATAAAGGATAATATAACCAATGTTCTTCTTTTCTAAGAAAAAAATTGGTTCCTTTAATCAAGTGTGACCTTTCTACAACGCTAATAATTGTTTTATGAAAAGGAAGATATTTTTATTTATCCCCTGTAGTCTTAAAGTTGTTTTAAAAGTGGAAAATCTTTGCTCATGGTCTTAATTGTATTGTTGTTGTTTTTATCTGTTCTGGAAATCTACAAGTCTAGAAACTACCACATCATCATTTCTCATTTTCTGGCTGCTGTAGAGAAAACTCGAAGTAGGAGCGTGAGGGATTCAAGGCGCACCCCAGTTTTATCAGGACTGATGCGTGTTACACGCAGGACATGCGTCCATCTGTCCCTTTTCTGAAAATTGCCCTGGATTGTCCTTAAATGGGTTTATTCCATACCGGCATCTCCAAAGAAAATGGAATCAACAGTGGGAGAGTGCTTGCCTTGCATGTGACTGACCTGAGTTCGGTCCCCAGCATCCCATTTGGTCTCCTGAGCACTGCCAGGAGTGAGTCCTGAGTGCACAGTCAAGAGGAACCCCCGAACATCATCAGGTGTGGTGCAAAAACAAACAAACAAAAATCCTGGCTAAGAAAGATAGGAGAGAGGGTAAGGTGCTTGACTTCCATGTGGTCAACCCAACTCTGATCCTTGGAATAGTATGTAAAATATAAAGAAAAATGTCTTTTTAAAAAGTCATCCCTAATCATTAATGTTCTGCCTTTTGTTTGATGACTGGGAGTGTATCCCCAGCACTCCAACGGGTCACTCTTGAGCAAGATATTCTGGAATAGCCCCAGACACTTGGGTGTGGTCCCAAATACCTCTCCCCGAAACAAAAGAACGACATAGATTCTATCCAGGACTTTTGAAAGATGATCTGAACTCTAGTCCATTCTTCCAAGCAGCCTGAAATCATTGGCATTCTGACACGCTTCCTCCGCCCACCACTATTTTCTATGCCTCCGTACCAGATCATTAAGCTGCACCCAAGCTTTCTCTCTCCACAAAACACAACTGGCTGTGGATAAGTTACTGGAGGCTGATATTGTTTCAGGCCAGTAATTACAGCGTCCATTGCCTCTCCCATTCCCTGTGAAGCTGTTCGCACGGTCTCCACTTCACGATGAACATGTTGCGGACAACAGGTTTTATCTTCCTTCTAGTACCCTGAGTGCTCCGCTTGCAGTAGGCACTCAAATTCGATCAGGAAAATGTGATCACTTTCTCCGTACAAGGAGCACTTTAATAAGCCCCCAAATATAGAAACGTCATCGGGGTCTCCTTGGTTTTACGAATGACAGTCAGGAACTAGGGGCCTGGAATTGCATGGGAACGAGGAAGCAGCCCTTGGAAACCCTTTAGTCCCGAGGCTCTGGTTCCATTTGATTTCTGAAGGGCAAGGGAAGAAAGTGACACAGAATGAAAGCAAAGGACAAAGTGGAGAATCCCCAAGTGAGGAGAGAGACAAGTTCTGGAAAACTCCACAGAAGGCCAGCTTCCCCCCCACCCCCCCGCCCCGCCCCTACCTCATTCCAGGTGACAGCCTGTGAAGCAGGGAAAGAGTGGTCGGCCCTCACAGTGCAGCTTCCACCTCACCCTGAGGAGACAAGACACTGGTTCTGGCTTCATCACTCCCTGGGTCCCCTTTGTGGCTCTCTGCTCTGGCCTCCTGTGGCCCTTCCCATGCTCCCTTTCAACTGCCCTCATCTGTGGCCTTTGCTCTTGCCCCATTCGGCTGCTTCCACATTTGCAAACAGTTTTCTCCCATGACAGGAATGGGCCAAGAGTTGCTCAATAAAAATGTTGCCCCCCCCGGCCCTACAGACGTTGGGGTTTTTGGGTTCCATCTGGCTGGCTCTGCACTTAGGAATTACTCCTGCTGGGCTCAGGGGACCATAAAGAATGCCAGGAAGGGGGAGGGGCAGAAGAAGATCAGAACCCTAGTCAGCTGCATGCCAAGCAAGCTCCTGACCCACTGTGGCTCCTCCTCCTCCCGGCCTTCTGTATCTTTTTGAGGAACTCTGCACCCTTTCCCATCCCCGGCAGCTGTGCACAGGGGCCGTTTCTCCAGACCTGCTTGGACTCCTGTGGCTCCAGCTGACCCTCTGTCCCCAGGCCCACCACCGACCAGTGGGAAACACTACACCACTAGGCCACCGTGATGGTGATGGGTGCGTCTGTACTGAGCTTGTACAGAAATTTTCTTTTCCTCCCCTGCGACATCTGGATATGCTCAGAAGTTACTCAAAGATGTGGGGTGCTGAGGATCAAACCTGGTTGGGTGCTGCAAGGCAACACCGACCCGCTATGCTACAGCTCTGGCCAAACTTTGTATGCCCTGGGCCGTGTTTTTACTTTCCTGATGGCACCGCAGGAACTGACAACGTTTTGAGGATGACCACCTGAACTAGCCTGGTTTTGGTCTCTGTGCCACTGTCCTCAGCAACTGCGAAACTGACTCTGTTCTTTAGGAACTTTCAAAGCTGAATTTATCGTGGATCTGGGCCACAATCAGTGGAGTTCAGGGCTTACTCCTGGCTCTGAGTGTAGGGATCACTCTTGGCAGGGCGCGAGGCATCATATGTTGTGTTGGGGATTGAACCCGGGTCAGTTGGACACAAGGCAAGTGCAAGCGGCGTTACTACTCATTATACTGTTGCTGCAGTCCTGTCACCTCAGTTTTTTCATGCCACTTCACACTCTGAGCTCACTCGTGCATGTGTCTTAAAGGGTCCACCTCTGATCTTTGGCATGGGGGCCTCTGGCAAGCCCAGCATTGTCTGTTCAAGAGATCCTGAGCATTTGGGCCCTACATGTACAATGTGAGCTGCGGATGGCCAGGCCCGGCCCCTTCCCTGCCATGACTGTCTCTCCTGTCACCAGCGACTCACGCGCTGGCTGGGTTTGATCCCCAGCACCACACAAATCCAGAGAGGGACAGGGCAGGTGTCTCCAGTTGGCGAGAAAGGGAAGTGAAGACACACATCATCAGAGGAGCCTCCGGAGAGCTCATCCCACTACACACAGCTGCAGGAGGAGAAAACCAGTCCTGGCACCTCAGGACTTCCTGGCATCTCTGAGGAGTCCAGTCTCAAGGAGGGGGATCTGGGAGGCACCTTAAGGAGCCTGAAGGAATGAGACTCAAAGAAGCGGCACAGAGATGATGGGTTCTCCTTGGGTCCGTATCCACAGCTGTGAAATAACCACCTCTCTGCTGTCCGGTCAAGAGAATGTGGAGGGAATGTGCACCTACCACGCATGGGACAAGTGTGTGTGCTGCTCTGATGTCACAGTTCCTTGGGTCCAGGAGTGTCCCAAATGGTCAAAATTCAGTGATCGGGCATGCGCAGAAAGAAGAAACAAATTCGATGGCTCCTGTACCCACCCTGGCAGTAGCCTCCCCAGGACTCCTTATCCACTCCCCTAACTACAAGACTAATCGCCAAGTGCTCCCGAGTGGGTGGTTGTTGGGGCTGAGCAGCAAACAGTCCTAGCTGGGGGAGCACAGGGTGACAGGCCTTAACATGTGCAGGGAAAACTCACACAGCATTCTGCGACCACACGGTGGCACTCTCCACTTTCCCAGGCCAGCACCAGGAAGGAAGGGCTGGTTCCCGCCCCTGCAGTGGAGGGAGTGACTGAGGCACCAGCACTCACCTTCAGGGACTTGGCTGATGCCTACCAGGCGGGTGGCCAGCCCAGGGAATCCAACCCCAGTGCCAGACACACAAACCCCAGGACCATCCAGGGGAAGAGAAGGTGAGGAGAAACCCTGGCCACGCAGCAGGGGCGGCCCCTCACACTAGCTCACCACTGAATCCCCCCCAGGGGGGCGCAGTTCAGACACCCCCCTTAAGTGCCATGTCCCCCAAGCTACTGACCACCGAGCGCCCAAAGTGCCAGGCTACGCGCCCGCGTCTACATTTGGCTACTGCGGGCGGTGAGGGCACTTGGCAGGGGACCACACGGGGAGCCTCCCTTCCTCCCATCCCATCCATTCCTCGCGGACCTCATCCCCACCTCTGGGAAGGATTCTAGTCATGCATTTCCTGCCAACAGCCTTAATTGGTTACATGATCGATGAACTCTCGTGTTAATTTGAAAGCCCATCACTGCTCTTATGCATGTATGTATTTAACATACGAAAAAGAAGAATTTTACAGCAACTGCCAAGAGGCTCTTCAGACAATAAAATGTCCAGGTGGTATGAAGCAGGAGGTGTTCACTGTAGGGCCTCTAACACCACGGCTGCCTGTGATGACTTCTTTTGTTACTCATCCGTTTGATCTGAAATCTCCGGGGATGACAGGATCTCCTGGGATCTGAAGATCTGCTGCACATGAGGGGTCTGCAGAGCCTTGACGGACTGTCGTGCTGCGACGGGCTGTGAAGACCCGATGGAGTGTGGTGACTCTGCGTTCTGTGGTTCTAGGGAGCCATGTGGAGGCTCGCTGGTCTGTCGTGCCAGGGGGACAATTGGTGGTGGGGAGCGCTGTGGTGCCTGTGTCCCCTGTGCTCCCTGGGTCTTGGGAGTCTTGGCTGTCTTGGTCTCCTTGGCTGCTTTCTCCTCAGGAGTCCGTGCTGCTCTCTTCATGACTTCCCTGGGCTCCCTGGAACAAGAAGAATACAGTCAGCTCTTGAAAGGGACGTGCCCCGTCTTCATCACTTCCTGACTTCAGGAAGGTATTGGAGCTGTTGCCATGGTTTACCCTGCGTCTTTATTGAAAATCTCATCCTCGTCAGAGGAATCCTTGTCATGGAGCTTCTGTGCCATGTTTTTCTTACATGTAGCCTTGAGTGGCTGACACATGTCTCTCAGCCACAGGGGCCGTCTTCGCCAGAAAAAGCCCTTCTGGAAAAGGCAAGGGGAGCGCGTAAGCCTGCACCCCGGCCCACTCTTGTCCTGCCTAAGTGCCGCCTCCCCCCAGTGGTTACCTGACTCTCGTGTTCCAGTGAACTTCTATGCAGCAATAATCCAAAGAAGGTCCTTGGAGGAAAACACGGACGCACGTGATTCATAACCCACCCCATTTCCCATCCTTCCTAGGATGGAGGTCTCTGGTCTTGTTTGGAAACTACCTTGGTCTGGAACCATGAGGAGTCAAACCACGAGGACCTGACACCTTGACAAAGTTTCCATGCATGCCTGTGGCAATTTTTAGAAATTTGTCGGGTCCATTCAAAGGGACCCCGTAGACTCTTGAGAGACCTTTATAGGTACCTGGCTTGGAAAACAGGCAGGATATTTATTTCTGGTTACCACCGTTGCCCCAGCAAATGCCCTGTGCAATGAACAAACTACCCACCACACCGAAAGCATTAGAGTCTGTCCAGAAGCTTTTCAACTGGTCGCCTCTGGATTTAGTCCCTCAGGCACCCTTTACCGGAAGTTGGGGCTGGGGGGATGATTCTATCGTCCTAGCTGCTTCATCCCAGATGCTGAACCAGAGTAAATGCCTGTGTGCAATTAGCCAAATCCTTTAGCTCACTAGTTTTCATGCTGCAGACAATCGCCCGTGAGCAAAGAAGCCACAGGTATCAGCATCAAAGGCAGGAACCGCACCGAGGCACGGAGATGAGTTTTGAGAGTGAAGAGAGGAGAGAGCAGTCTTGCACTTTACGGGCAGTGTTATCATGTGTACAGAGCCCGTGGGTGCTGAGTGGAGGCAAGAAACGCAGCTCCCAAGTCAATGGAGAGGTCCCAAGGGACAGGGACCATGCTCTTTCCCAATCACCAGCAGTGTGTTCCTAAGGGCAAGGTAGTTTCCATTCTCCCTCTATTCCTTTTAATAAGAGACAGAGACAGAGGTTGGGGATGTGGCTCAGTGGTAAAGTATTTGGCTTGCATGTGTGAGGCCCTGGGTTCAATTCCTGGCACCACACTGAGCACTGAGGCTGGAGTAGTCTCGAGCTAGTTAAAAGGGCCTTTTGGACATGAGGCTCCAACTCTGGCCTCTGGCTCCGTATGTCCTCCCTGAGCACAGGTGGGCTGGCATAGGTAACAGCCACCCCACAGGAGGGACTGAGCAGCCCGGACTTGCAGAGACCTAAGACACTAACACTGAACTCAGGAGGCCCAGGTCACGGGCCAAGAAGCACACAGAAGGGCTCCAGGGTCCCCAAGAACCAGGGGGAGGACACTCCAGTGCAAGTGAAAGATTGTCAGACTAATATTTACCTGGATCTTCCATCTTTACTCTGTCTTGCTCTACAAGAATAAATCTGTTTTGGAAAAAAAATATGATCATGATTATCTCGGTGACCGATCTCTCTAAAACCTTATTAATTCCATCGACTTTGCTGTATCTACCCACTGATATCACTTTTTGAGAACAGGAATTCTCTCCTGTTTAATAGTCCCTGGACTCTCCTACAGCACATGACTGAAGGGGCACGTTAGGAATACAGCTTAGTGACTGTTTCAGAGAAATTCAGCGCATTAATCCAAATTAAAAACTATGAGGTAGGAAATTAAAAGTATCTGCCAAAACCCAAACACAGAAACATACTTTTTCACAACGTTTTCTAAACAATGTCAAGAACCAGTCTGATGACTTTCCCATCACCACTCTGCATCCCCAGTGAGGAGTCCTCATCAATGCAGCAAGCAGAGTCGAGTCTTACAGGAGACAAAACTTGGTTGCATTTGCAATGATTCTTACCCAAAAAAACCCAAAACAATAAAGGTCCTATGAGATATGTTATTCCTCGGGCTACAGATATCATACGGTGGGTGGGGCATTTGCATTGACTGTGGCTGACGCAGATTCGATCCCAGGACTCCAGATGGTTCCCTGAGCCCCACCTGGAGTGATGCCTGAGAGCAGAGCCAGGAATAAGCCCTGAGCACAGATGGCTGTTGCCCCAAATAAATAACTAAATCAATATGTCAACTCTTTGAGCGACTTAGACTGAAATTTCAATACCTGAAGCATTTCCGTGCTTTTGTCCTTAAGGAGATAAAACAGAACAGTGCAATAAGGAGCACGGGCTACTTTGTAGGTGACCCCCATGTTTGAAAGCGGGATGATAGGGCTGGGGAGGTAGCTCAGTGGGAGAATGCCTGCCTTGCATGCAGGAGACATGGGGTCGGTACCCAGCACAACAAGAAGAGCAAAATTGGAGGGATGCTAATGCCGTCCTTAGAGGATTGCGAGGATTAAACCAGACAACATACAGGAAATTCCTTGTACTGTGGTTGGCATAAATCAGAGCTGTGTTTGCTGATGACGTCACAAAGGAGCGGCTTAAACATACCAAAGACTGAGAGAGCTCTTCCTCAGTCAGCACCATGGCTTCTAATTTATTCTAATTCTTTGTTGGTGGTTGTGGTGCTGCCAGGGATTGAACCCAGGGCCTCACACATGCAAGACAAGTGCAACATCACTAACCTATATCCCGAACCCCTTTCATCCCACGTTGCTGTTGTTCATTTTTTGAGGCTCTTCCTGCCAGCTGGTGCTTGCGGGGCCTACTTCTGGGGTGGTGCTCAGGGACCATGGAGCACTGTGGCTAGCATCTGGGGTTCCCACATGCAAAGTGAATTGAAGTTTGAGTCTTTGGACTTATCTCCCTGGCCCTTAAATCACTTTTTTAATGTGCCTGCTGGGAAAAGTCAGTGGTGTGTCATTGAACAGAAGACAGATATAGGCAAGCTCCTGGAGTAACTACCGCACGCTACGAGGCTTGAGAGTAGCCCAGCTCGGGCTCAGGCTGCAGTGCGGGTGTGTTTGGTTTGGGAGCCACCCAGTAATAGGCAGGAACAACTTGATTTGCTGTTTAGGGGTAGCTCCTGGTGGCTCTTGGGGGGGCGGGGAGGGCATGCATTGCCGAGGATGGAACCCAGGTCTCCCTCACGCAAACCGTGAAAAGTAGCCCTCGGAGCTCTCTCCCCAGTCTTAGCTGCAGTGTTTTAACTTCATCCAGGGAGATGGTGCTTAAACCTAATGAGAGCTACTGCACTGGATCAGGTCCTAGGAGGGTGGAGATTCTACACTTTTGATCCTTCCAGTCAACAAGGAAAGTAATCAGTAGAAGAATGTCAGTGAGTGTTAAGTTAAACCACTGACATCCTTTTGATTTAAAAAGGGGGGTGGGGGGGAGTCTATATGGTGACCAGAAAGAGAGCTGAATGGTCAGAGTGCATGCTTTGCATGCAGAAGGGCCAGGCTGGATCCCTAGTTCTGCAAGGTCCCCTGAGCACCACCAGAAGTGACACCCCCTCTCCCCTCTGCACTGAGCTGGGGGCAGGCCCTGAACAAACAGGATGTAGTCCCCAAACAGCGCACAGGAAGACTACTTTTTGTTTCATCTCTAGCCTTCTTAACTTTTCAAAATTTTCGAAAGCTTGTTATTTGGGTTCATTTCCACAGGGACCTCTTGGGAGTCAGTTCCCTTCAACAAACCCTGGGATTATCTTTGCAATATGAGAAGCAACCACACCTCATTACTCAAGACTGAAGAGGAAAATCAAGCATCAGTAGGAGGAAAAGGGGCTTTTATTTTCCATTTGAACCCCCTGAATCTATTATCATGCCATTAAATCCTGGAAATCTGAATGAACTGTTCTTACCTCAATGAGACATAAAATTAAAACCAATAATATCACGACGACAGCCACATTTATTGCAACGACTGCTTTTTGATTGTGGTACACAACATATCCTGGAACTTTTATGAGCTGAAAAATAAAAATTATTTTCATGCATTACTTTTGGGGGGGCCACATTCAGTGATGATGAGGGGTTACTCTGGCTCTGCACTCGGAAATCACTCCTGGCGGACCAAAATGGACGCTGGGCATAGAATTCGGGTTGGTGGCATGCAAAGTAAGTGCTTTACCCACTGTACTATCGCTTCAATACCCAGGAACAATTAGACAGAAAGATGGGAAGGATTCTTAAGCCCGTTCTAAAGAATGGTTATCCTTCTACTAGTCTAAAACCCCATCCTCTGAAAGGAGTGGACTATAGGTTTTTATTTTGTATGTGGTTTTATTTTGGGGTGGTTTGTTTTTCAGCCCATATCCAGGGTCCTCAGAGCTACTTCTCGCTCAGTACTCATGGGGACTCTTTTTGAACTATCTCCTTGGCCCCAATATGTTCTTTTTTTCTTTTTTTCAAATGTAGGAGTACTGCTATTTATTCAGTCACTGATTAGCTGATTAAATTGGGCATGAACTAGGCCCCAATATGTTCTTAAAGAGCACACCAGATCTATTATGCCATCTTGTCTGTAGCCTTTCCTTCTACAATTTATTTATCTGGTGTGTTAGGTCCTCTTCTTACCTCTCCTAGGAACAGTGCTACCTTTCTACAAACGAGCACAGGGACAATCATTCTTGTAGTCAAAGTTGTGTGGCCACAAAAAAGAGAGCGAGCCAGCAGGAGAGGGAGAGCCAAGACACCCTGGTCTTCTTGCTTGTGTTCTTTCATGGCATGGCCTGAGAGCCCGGAAGCCCCTGAGCCTGGTCACCGTGAGATTCAGTTACAAAGCTTTCCTGACCGTGATCCAGGTTCAGTCAGACAATGCTCCAACACCCATCCCTCCACCAGTGTACATTACCCACCAACAAAATCCCCGCATTCCTCCTGCCACCTCCTCCCCGCCCCCAGCCTACCTCTGCCTTTATGGCAGGAACTTTTCTTCTCTCTCTCTCTCTCTCTCGCTCTCTCTCTCTCCTTCCCTCCCTTTCTCTTCCCACCCCCCTCTTTTCCCCTTTCTTCCCTCCCCCCCCTCTTACTCTCTCCGCTCACTCCATGCCCCCCTTTTGGGCGTTATGGTTTGCAGTGCAGATACTGAGAGCTCATCATGTTTGATCCTTGACCCACTTCAGCACACATCTCCCACCCAGAGCTATCCCTTCCAACTATCATTGTTGCAGTGATCCCTTCTCTATCCCAGCTGCCTTCTCTGCCAGCCCTTGAGGCAGGCTTCCAACCGTGGACCATTCATCCTGGCCATTGTTTCTAACTGTCCTTGGGTGTTAATCTCATAGTAAGTTTTAGTGATTTTTACGTCCCATAAATGAGTGCAATCATTCTATGTCTGTCCTTCTGGCTTATTTCACTCTGCATGAGACTCCGTTAAAAAAACAAAAGTCTGTCCTCACCTCACTTGCCTCCTGCTGTTTCTGATCACCCTGGCCTTCGGTATTCTCACTGATGTAGTTCTCAGCCTCCCACTGGTCCGTATCCCATTTTTCACTGGACACCTTTACGTCCTGCCGCTCACTAAGAAGCTTCATCAGGAGCCCGGTTTTGTGGACCACCTTGGCACACTCCAGTTGCACCCGGGGATCGGAGCAGTCCATTTTCAGAGTCCGAATTACTTGGGCAATGAACTTCCTCACATTACTGTTGGGGATAAGGGGCCGCAACTTCTGGATGAGCTGCATCTCAAGTTCGTCTCTGGGGTCGGGTTTCTGTGGGGGGGAGTCGATGTCGGTGGCCACCTTCTGATATTCCCACTGCATCTCGTTGGGCTGTCTGACAGCCGGCATGAGGCTGTCCTCCATCCCCTCTTCCTCCTCAGGGGCAGTGCTTTGGATACCGGCAGTTTTCTCTGGCGGCACGATGCTTCTGGCATCCCCCCCGTTTGGAGCACGCGTGCTCTCCGCGGTCTTCTTTTCCCGGCTGGAGCGCAATGAAAGGAATGGCTCCGTGACAGGTTTGTCCTGGTGTCTCCAGGACAGAGACCCCTCCCTCGGCGGGGAGTTGACGAGGCGCTTCACTGCACCGAAAGGAGGCCTCCTGGCCAGCACCGGCCTCTGCGGTGCTGCTTCTTTTGTCGCTGTGTTCACTCTGGCCTGGGGTATTCTGCGGCCCAGCTGAGAGTCAAGTTTACGAAACTGGTAGTTCTTCCCGGTGTGTGACACGGGGCTGGGAACCTTCATGTTCCGAACTCGAGCGCCCGCATCCTCTAAGACGCGTAGAGTTCTTTTCAGGTCTTTGGATGGGATTTCGTCCTCCAGTGGCACTTGGAAAGCAGCGGCGGCAGACGGGCTGCCCATGGAGTGCTGTTCCAGGGGCACGGAGGCCGGCGCCCTGTGCTCCTGGATGAAGGATGACTCCTCGTTGAAGGAGCTTTCCACCAATTTCCTGGGCCTCCCTGCCAAGATAAAGTCTTTCGGTCTTTCCGGGGCCAGCTGCCTGTGCCGTCTTTCTTGGGCAATGTTCCCCGCCATGGACCAAGCCTTCCCTCGCCTCTGGCTGAGGGGAGTGCCCTCTTCTTTGAAGTAACTCTTCTGCAGGCCCCCGGGATCCTTGAGCACGCTGCTCCCTTGCAGTGGTTGCGTCTCCCACTCCTGAACATTTCCTAAGTGTTTTTTCTTTGGTGGCCCGACAGTTTCCAATTTCTTTGGAAAAAAATGGCGTTTAAATTTGGGCCCGAAAAGACTGGAATGGACCTGCGTGGCAGTTTTCTCCTTCTTTCTAACTTTGTGGACTTTTTCTTGAATTTCTGTGTTGATTAGACTTTGGAGAACATGGATTTTTTTCACCTTATTGTAGATTTCACTGTTGGATTCGGGCTGTATAGAAATCCAAGCCGTGCTGGTTTTCGAAGGAGCCAGAGGATTTCCTCCATCTTGCACATCTTTAAAAAGAAACTTAATGAAGGATAACAATGTTGGTTCTGCATCTATGTCCCCAACCTGTAACAAAGACATTATGGAATCTAGTCTAGTAAGCATATCACGCTGATGACTATTGTCTAGCTGTTCATGATGGAAAAAGGACAGGCTGTTTCTCTCGGATGAGGCCTTCTCTGGTTCAATCGTCAGCTCGGTGCTGGTACTCTTCTTTCGGGCCTGTAAAGCCTTCATGAATTCCCCGTCCATATTACTGATGTATTGTTCTTCACCTGTCAAAAAGGAAGAGCTTGCTTTTGATCATGAAAGATAACTGGGGATAATTTTGGGAGCATCTACAGACATAAGTTCCAGGTAAGTAAACTAGTAATCAGTGAACAAGTGCCGTATGGTGTGTGGGGGGGTGGGGGGGGCACAGGAAACCCTAAATTTACACCTGTGATTGGCAAAAACAAAAGGAGAAACAAAGTGATCATCGCTATTTATTCAGAATAAATAGGGCATGGAGTTCAGTACATGTATTTAGGATTATTCAACTGGGGGGCAGAGTGACAGTAGAGCAGATAAAGGCCTCGTCTTGTAGGCAGCCAACCTGGGTCTTATCCCCAGCACCCCATACGCTCCCTCAAGCCTTACCAGTTCTGACCCCAGAACACAAAGTTAGGAGTAAACTTTGAGCACTTCTGAGGATGCTGCCAAACAAGCAAACACACAAACAATAATCATAAGATTATTCCACTGATCTCCAAGGACCAAGTACCCAGTCTTCAGGACAAATATTTGCTGCTCAGTTAGACTCTTTACAGATCAACTATGATTTTTCTTTTTTTTAATTTTTATTAGTCAAACACCATGAGGTACCGTTTTAGATTTACAAATTTTTGTGCTTGGGTTTCAGTTATACAATGATTGGGTACCCATCCCTCAACCAGTGCCCATTCTCCACCACCAATGATCCCAGTATACCTCCCAAGCCCCCTCCCCTCCTCCCATCCCACCCCGCCTCTGTGGCAGGGCATTCCGTTTGGTTCTCTCTCTCTCTTTTGGGGTGCTGTGGTTTGCAAAAGAGGAACTGAGTGGCAATCATGTTCGGTCTATAGTCTACTTTCAGCATGCATCTCCCATCCTGGGAGGATCCTCCCAACACTCTTGACTTGGTGCTCCCTTCTCTATCTGGGCTGCCTTTTCCCCTAGCATATGTGGCTGGCCTCCAAGCCATGGAGCAAACCTCCTGGTACTTATCTCAACTATTCTTGGGTGACGGTCTCCCATTTTGTTACTTTATATTTCACAGACGAATGCAATCTTTCTATGTCCCTCTTTCTGACTGATTTAACTTAGCATGATATTTTCGATGTAGTACCACTTATATGTAAATTTCATCACTTCATCTTTTCTAACAACTGCATAGTACTCCATTGTGTAGATGTACCAAAGTTTCTTTAACCAGTCATCTGTTCTCGGGCACTCAGGTTTTTTCTAGATTTTGGCTACTGTGGGCTGGAGCAATAGCATAGTGGGTAGGGTGTTTGCCTTACATGCGGCCCACCAGGCTGACCTGGGTTCAATTCCTCTGCCCCTCTTGGAGAGCCTGGCAAGCTACTGAGAGTGTCTCGGCTGCACAGCAAAGCCTGGCAAGCTACCTGTGACGTATTCATATGCCAAACACAGTAACAACAAGTCTTACAAATTGAGACGTTACTGGGCCTGCTCGAGCAAACTGATGAACAATGGGAGGACAGCGTTACAGTGCTACAGTGCTTGGCTACTGTGAACAGTGCAGCAATGAACATAGAAGTGCAGATGTCATTTGGACTGTAATTTTTTGCCTCTCCGGGATATATTCCCAGGAGTGGTATTCCTGGTGAAATATTGATGTTTCTATTGATATGATCATATGGTTTTTATCTTTACTTTTGTTGATATGATGGATTATGTTGACTGACTTCCAAATGGTAAACCATCCTTGCATCCCCTAGATGAATGCCACTTGGTCGTGGTGTATGATCTTTTTGATGAGTTGTTGGATTCTATTTGTTAATATTTTGTTGAGGATTTTCACAACCATGTTCATCAGAGATATTAGCCTGGAATTTTCTTTGTTAGTGGTGTCCTTGTTTGCTTTTGGTATTGGGAAGATAAGTGCCTCATAGAAGCTGTTTGTGAGAGTTCCTGTTTTTTTCAATTTCATGGAAAAGCTTGAGGAGAACTGGCAAAAGGTCTTCTTTAAATGTTGGGAAGAATTCGCTAGTGAATCCATCTGGGCCTGCGCTTTTGTTTTTGGGAAGACTTTTGATTTCGGTTTCATTTCCTTGATATGAATGAGTCTATTCAGGCATTCCAAGTCTTCTTGGTTCAGTCTTGGGAGATTATAGGAATCCAGGAACGTATCCATTTCTCTAGGTTATCTTGTTTCATGGCATACAGACTCTCAAAGCAGTCTCTGATGATCTTTTGAATTGCATTGGTTTCTGTTGCGATGTCCCCTTTTTCATTTCTGATTTGGTTTATTAGGGCTCTCTCTCTCTCTTTCATTGTGAGTCTTGTTAGTGGCTTATCGATCTTGTTTATTTTCTCAAAGAACCAGCTCTTGATTTCACTGACCTTTCGGATTGTTTTTTGGGTTTCCATGTCTGATTTCTGCTCTAAGTTTTATTATTTCTTTCCTTCAGCGGGGCTCGAGTTCCTTTTTTTGGTTATTTTCTAAGATCGTGAGCTGTGAGGTCAGGTCATCTAAGAGGCCCTTTCTTCCTTCCTTAGGAATGCTTGCAAAGCTACAAATTTTCCTCTTAACACAGCTTTCGCTGCATTCCATAGGTTCCGATAGCTTGTGTCTTCATTCACATTTGTTTCCAAGTATTTTTTTATTTCGTCCTTGACTTCCTTCCAGATCCACTCGTTGTTCAACTTTGAGTTGTTTAATTTCCAGGTGTTTGATTTGTCTCTCCGTGTCTGTGTATGCTTCGCTCCTATCTTCAGCACATCGTGGTCTGAAAAGATTGTTGATACTATTTCTATCTTCCGGATTCTATTGAGGTCGGTTTTGTGACCTTACATGTGGCCTTTCTATTTTTGGACAGTGTTCCGTGTGCACTGGAAAAGAATGTGTATTCTTTCTTTTTGGGGTGTAAAGCCCTGTATAGGTCTATTAGCCCTCTCTCTACTATTTCTTCCTTCAAAGTCAATGTCTAGCATGCTGAGTTTTGTTCTTGTTGACCTATCCAGAGATGATAAGGCGATGTTGAATTCTCTGACTACTATTGTGTTGCTAGCAATGTCCTCCTTGAAATCTGTTAGCAGTTGTTTTAACTATTTAGCTGGTCCCTCATTAAGTGTGTATGAATTTAAGAGTGTGATTTCTTCCTGTTACACATATCCCTTGATAAACAGAAAATGACCTTTGCTGTTCCTTCTAGTCTTTTTCAACCTGAAATTTATGTTGTCGTATATTAGTGTGGCTACCCCAGATTTTTTGAGGGAGGTGTCTGCTTGCAGGATTGCTTTCCATCCTTTAACTTTGAGTCTGTGTTTGCTCTGACCATTCAGATTAGTTTCTTGTAGGCAGCAGAATGTTGGGTTCAGTTTCCGAATTCATTCTGCCACTGTGTCTCTTGATTGGTGCATTTAGACCATTGATGTTGAGAGAGATTATTGTTAGAGAGTTTTGTGCCATCTTTCTGTAGGGACTTGTTGTGCTTGTAGGGTGTTTTCTTGTCTTATAGAAGCCCTCTTAGTGGTTCTTTCAAGTTTGGCTTTGTCTATGAAGTTCCTGAGCTGTTGTTTATCCATGAAATAGTGTATGGTTCCTTCCGAGTTTGAATGAGAGTTTAGCTGGATAGAGTACTCTTGGTGAGGCGTTCATTTCATTGAGTTTTTTCACTAAATCCCCCCATTGCCTTTGGGCTTGGAGGGTTTCCTCTGACAGGTCTGCTGTAAATGTACAGGGTGCTCCTATGTATGTGGCATCCTTCTTCAACCTTGCTGCTTGCAGGATCATTTCTCTATCCATATCATCCATCATTCTGACTCTGATGTGTCTTGGAGTCTTTTTATTAGGGTCTCTTTTACTTGGCACCCTTCGGGCTCCTTGGGTCCGGATGCCTGCATTCTCCAGCTCTGGGAACTTTTCGGCAATGATATGTTTAACTGTGGCTTTTCCATTGGGGTTGCCTCCCTGTCCTTCTGGTACTCTGATGATTCTTACTTGCTCCTCTTGGATTCATCCCCTAGGACTCTGATTCACCCCGGGGCTATTGTGAGGTCTTTTCCCATGGTTTGTTGTTGTCTGTAAACTTTCTGGTGCTCATCTTCAAGCTTACTGATTCTGTCCTCAGCTGTAGCCATTCTACTGCTGAGGGCACTCACTGAGTTTTTTATTTCATCTATCAAATCCTTTATTCATGACATTTGTTTGCAGCTTTTCTATTTCTGCTCTCATTTCTTCCGGTATTTTGTTGGCTGCCTGTTCCACTGTTTCATTCAAGTCCTCTTTTAATTTCCTGGATGTCTGTTCCACTGTTTCTTTGAGTTCATTGAACATCTTCAACATTTTGATTCTGAATTCCTTATTGGAGAGACTGTATTTGTGAGTAGCCCCTGTTGGGGGCCTCTGGACCTTTTTCTTCATCTTCCCCTCGTGGCGTGGTGGGGATCTGTGCTGTTTCTTCATGTTGTGGTGGTAGTATGAAGGTGGGAACCACAGTTCACTATGAGTTTTCCCTCTTGGTTAATTTGGGGATTCTGGGTGAGCTCGGTCTAGTGGTCGCCTTTTTCCCCTTCAGGAGTTGTGGCTTCCTCTCATGTTCTCCTCTGTGGCCTCTGGTGGAGCTTCGGGGGATGTAGTCCTTTACATTGGACTTGTACACGTCTACGGGTATTGTGGTGCAACTGGGATGAGCTAGTGGATTATTGGCCTGATGTATTTGAGATTGCCGAGACATTCTCCCCCGAGTTACGTGACGGAGGTCAAGATATGAGTCCAAATTGCTAGGAAAGGGGAAAATAACTGCTGCCCTCAGAGTAGGCCATGCCCCCTATCCACGCCCCCTAGCTCAAAGGCCAGGCTCCCTGGCTCAGAGGCCACACCTACAGGACCAGGCTGACCGCTGGTTCGGCTGGGACTAGGGGAGCTAGAAACAGTAGTTGGGGGTTGGAAGGTGCTGTTTCTCTTTAACTCTTTGGTGTGCTAATCTTGTTACTGTCATAGGTTACTGTCACAGACAACGAAGAAATTCCTCCAGAAATCAGATCCTCTTCTGAATGCATCCATTCTCCACCTACCAACTAATCACGATCACAACCATCCTGTTGTTCGTCGATTGCCTCGAGCAGGCCCCAGTAACGTCTCCTTCATCCTAGCCCTGAGATTTTTTAAAAGTGCCATATTAAAGGCTCTTTCAGGGTTAGGAGAATGAGCCCCATCATTGTTACTGGTATTGGGCATATTAGGTACACCACGGGGAGTTTGAGAGACTCTGCCCTGTGGGCAGGTTACATCTGGTAGCCTACCATTTTGTCCAAAGTTAGAATGAGATAATAAGGTGTATGTGGCTGCGCACTTCTGGGATCTAGGTTTTATAATCTCTGGGTCTTGGCTGCTGATGGGATTACACGGCGCCAGGGGGCCAGTTGGTGGGTGTGACCCCTGCCTACTGGAATATGGAGGATCTGGGTGGAGGATGCTCAGCCCCGATCGAGCAGGCTTGGAGATCTCAGCCCCGGTACCCGTATGCCTTTGTTCCTCTGCTGGTACCTTCATGCATGCGGAGAGCGGTCTCAGCATGGTGGTGGCTGGTTCTGGAGGTCTTTGGCTGCCAGAGCCCTGGTCGGGACGGGGAGGGAAACTCAACCCACTCCCCTCCAGGGGCCCTGGTGAGGACAGCCAGGCGCGGGGGCAGGAGACTCTGCGCTGTTCTCTTCCGGGATCTGGGTTTTATAGTCTCTGGGTCTTGGTCGCTGATGAGATTACATGGCGCCAGGGGGCCAGTTGGTGGGTGTGACCCCTGCCTACTGGAATATGGAGGATATGGGTGGAGGATGCTCAGCCCCTATCCGAGCAGACTTGGAGATCTCAGCTCTGGGACCCGCATGCCTTTGTTCCTCTGCCCGGTACCTTCATGCGTGCCAACTAATACTTTTACCAACTAATACTTTTGTTTATTAGCCCTCAGTTTCATATTGTTGAATCTGGACAGATGTCTAAGTATAGGTTAATGGATTAGCCAGAGTATATGTCAATGTGCAATGTTGAGAAAATCTTTGTTTTGTTTTGTGTGGGGGCAACACTTGGTGATGCTCAGGGGTTACTCCTGGTTCACTGCTCACAAAAATCACTCCTGTTGGTGCTTGGGAAACTGTATAGTATGTCGGCAATGGAATTCAGGTCATTTGTGTGCAAGGCAAGTCCCCTACCCACTATACTATCTCCCTACCCGCTGTCCTATCTCTCTGGCCCCTGAAATAACATTGGAGATCCCAAAATTGGGGAAAACAACTCTTATTAGATGTGTATTTGCCTTCACTTACTTCCTAATACTTCCAGCTCTACCTAGGGAACCATACAAAGTTTCTGACTTCTTGAAGGTCAAGTGTAAAATTGTGCACTTGGGTTTCTTTTGGTGTGGGGGGCGGTGGGGTCAAACCCAGCAATGCTCAGGGGTTACTCCTGTCTCTGTGCTCAGGGATCACTCCTGGTAGTAATTTGGGATCATCTGAGATGCTAGGGATCCAACCCACGTCTGCCATATGCAAGGCAAGTGCCCAACTGCTAGACTATCTTTCCAACCAAACTTTACTGAGAATTAAAAGTTCTTTTGGTGGTGGTGAAATTTAGAGGGGGAGTTAAGGGATGTGAGGAAGAAGCATGGACTTGCAGGGAGTCCCAGACTGGGAACACAAGATCTAGGCATTAGGCATATTTAACACTTTTTGTTTTTCTATTATTCACTTAAAAATGTTATTAGTATTTTTATTCTGAATTTAGATTATTTGGTTTAGTTATTCTTTGGGGCTGGAGCGATAGCACAGCAGGTAGGGCGTTTGCCTTGCACGCAGCCAACCTGGCCGACCTGAGTTGGATTCCTCCGCCCCTCTCGGAGAGCCAGGCAAGCTACCAAGAGTATTTCGCCCACACAGCAAAGCCTGGCAAGCTACCCGTGACATATTCGATATGCCAAACACAGTAACAAGTTTCACAATGTTACTGGGCCCGCTCGAGCAAATTGATTAACAGCTGCAGGACAGTGATCAGTGATCAGGTATTCTTTAAATAACATTATTATTATTATTATTATTATTACTTTTTAAGTAACATTATTAAAGTTGAAGTAACATGATTACAAAATACGAATGCTATTGGTTTCCATGTACAAAGTGAACTTTACCTGGACCACCGCCGAAGTGCCGAGACACCACAGTTCATACATCCCCTCTAATCTGACTCTTTCCCCGCCCCCCCAACAAATCCCCAGGTTTGATGTTCATCTTATGAAAGGTGAGTCGTAAATGTTGTTATGCCCATCTCTGAGAAGAGAGTAATAGATTTGTTAAAAATTGATTTTAAAAGTAACATTATCTTTGTGTAAGAAGCAAAGTGATGTGATATGCCCAATTGCTGATAGCGAAGCAGATTCATAATATCCCGGCATGAAAACACTTTTTTTGGTGGTATGTGTGTGTGTGTTGTGTGTGTGTGCGTTGTGTGTGCGCATGTGCTCGTGCATTCGCCATACAGCAGTGCCCAAGGGATACTCTCAGCAGTTCTTCGAAAATTATTTTATGGGGGGATTGAACCCACACCTCCCACATGAAAAGCATGTGTTGCAACCTATTGATCTATTTTCCTGGGTCCCTGAAAGGACACTGCGGAAGTTATCAAGTAAACTTACTATGTGGAAATATATAAGGGCACCTGAGTGCTTTGTGGATTTGAAGGGTTAAAATTCAAAGTAGGTTTGGAGGTGGGGATGCTCTAAGAATCCATCATTAGAAGGACTGAGTGGCAGCCTATGCTTAGAAGACCAGAATTTCTCAGGCTCTAAGCAAAACGTGCATAAGATAGTATGACTTGTACTTGCCTATAAAATTATAAAAACACATGCAATAAGGTAGCTACACCAGTCCTATAAAGAAAAGGGCAACTGATATTTCTTGTGTATAAAATCTGTTTGCAAACTGCATTGTGTGGCTGAGTTCTCATCTGGAGGACCAACACCTTGCCCAGAGTGTGGCACTCAGTTGTGACCATGAATGATAGCTCCCTTTCCCACTTCCATCCCTTTCTTCCATTCCTCTTAAACCTTCAGGTCATTCATATACTGCGAAGGTAATGATGTGGCTGAGATTCTGACTTTTGCCAAGGGAAATAGCTCATGGAAATATAGGGAGTTGAACTCTGAATAAAAATAATGCACTCCATAATCAGCTTCAAATGTACCATCAGTGATTAAAATAAAAATGAAACATAAATTAAAAACCTATCAGCAGGCAATCCAACTCACCGCAGGGTGTACTACTGGTAAGACATTCACTGTCACAACGTAGTTTGACTGTCTTGTAGACAACGTCAATATTATTTTTAAATTGGCAGAGGCAGCAGGTTAGATGGTTAGGTAAGATCCTATGAATGGAAACACAGAGAATTAAGTGCAGAGTCAAGAGGTTACTTTAAATAGGTAGAAGAGGCAGTCAAGGCCACTGAGCAGCTATTGAAAAAGTTCCTGAGAAACATGGATGAGGTGTTGCTCAAACTCTGAGGTGGTGGGAACCCAACTGGGAGGTGATGCATGCAAAGCGTGTACTATTGCTCCAGCCCTCAGAAAACTGAGTTTTGTTTTTTGGTCATATCTGGTGGTGCTCAGGGGTTGCTCTGGGCTCTTGGCTCAGGGATCATTCCTAGTAGGCTCGGGAAACCATAGGCAGTGCGAGAGGCTGAATGTGGGTTAGCCACATGCAAATCAAATACCTAACTCACTATCCTATCTCTCCAGCTCCCAGATAACAATAAAAAAAACATCAGTTACAACCTGGGGTGTTATTTCTCTATGGAGTGATCAGTCGGGGGCACAGAGATAAGCAACATTCATGGAATGAGGTAGCGTGGAGGGCCAAGAGTTCTCTCAGACAAATGGCATTAATCAAACCCAGCAACCTTCTTTTATTGTAATACAGTACACTAGGGGATGCATCACCAAATCCATGTGGACAAAAGGCTATTGATCTTGCTCTGTCGATGATTAACCTCCCATCCCCATATTTCAATCATCTACATTTCCGTCTAGACAGGATGTCCCCTCTAACTTTGCCTAAACAAAGCATAGCATAATCAATCAGTGTCAAGAAGAAGCTGCATCATGACATGCTGACCCCTGCCCAGTTCAATCAGAGTTCCAAGCTGCTTCCAGCATGACACTGAAAGCAAGGCAGTGTCTGTAGGAACTTCCTCATGACTCTGGTCGGGCTCCAACATCTCCCCCTTTTTGTTTTGCAGCCAGCTTAGCCTTCATGACGACATGTACAGCGTGTTGTTGTTGGGCTATTCTGTTTTGTTTTCTGAATTTTTGGCAGGCTATGTAAAAAAGAAACAACAGAACAATAAGTACAAACATACTAATAAACCCATCACAAGGGCTAGAATATAATCCTTAGGATTTAGTTGAGTGATCCCATCCAACAATCCACCCCCAATGGTATCAGGTCCCCAGACTTGCAAGTGGGCCTGAAATACACAGTGAATGTTAGTTTGCAACTCTATGATTTTGTCGGTCATATTTTTTATGGTTTAACAAATGCTTTTTAACCTTTTCCCATGGAGATTTAGACTCATAATAAGGTACAGGAGTTATACAAATGCAGAAGTATTCCAATCACATTTTAGAGTGCGTTGTCTTCTTAAACTCGGTAGCTGGTCACCGAGTAGGGTAACAGTTCGTGTAACATCGGACGATTCCTCTTGTAATCCTGCATCAACTTGTCACTGGGTTGTCCACAGTCTCTGAAAGTCCTGATGCCCTTTCTTTCTTTCTTTCTTTCTTTCTTTCTTTCTTTCTTTCTTTCTTTATTCTTCTTTTTGCTTTTCGGGTCACACCTGGAGATGCACAGGGGTTACTCCTGGCTCTGCACTCAGAAATTACTCCTGGCAGTGCCCAGGGGAATATATGGGATGCTGGGAATCAAACCAGGGTCAGCCACATGCAAGGCAAATGCCCTACCTGCTGTGCTATCGCTCCAGCCCCCTCGTGCCGTTTCTTAACAAACTCAGCAGTCTGAGATCCTTGCCTCAATGCAATACAAGCCGTTGATGCTGTAGCAGTGATGGCAACGAGTCCCATGATAACAGCAATTACGAGGCCTACAAACCTCTTTGTGTGTGGTGCCAGGTGAGTGACCAGCCGGTGAAGAATGTTGGTAGCTGGACTGTCTTCCCACAAGCGGTTAAGCCACACAGGCATCTAGACCCCCATGCAAGCTCTAAGAAGATAGATGCTTTCTTCTGCTGTGAGACTCACAGAGTTAAGAATACAAGTGAACATAGAGCAGTCACTGCAAGATATTACCTCTGCTACTTTATCCCAGCTAATTCTCCCTTTCAGCATGGCATATGGCAGTGGGACACAAGCCTGTATATAGCGGGTAAGATTTCTATCAAAATGTAAAGTACGTTTTGTTCCAACATTGTTATGTTGGATAAAACTGTCCGGGCTGTCATGTGTCCAAAGGAATTCCCTATTTTCCATAGATGATTTTGTTTCTTATGCCCAGGAAGGAAGGGTGTAGGAGGCGGAAAGCTACCTCCGCACCCCATTATGCCAATATTCACTGTATCACTGTCATCCCCTTGTTCATCGATTTACTCAAGTGGGCACCAGTAACGTCTCCATTCGTCCCAGCCCTGAGATTTTAGCAGCCTCTCCTTACTCATCTTTCCCAACATATTGGAGGCTCTTTCTGGGTCAGGGGAATGAGATCCTTTATTGCTACACTTTTGGCATATCGAATATGTCATGGCTTGCTTGCCAGGCTCTGATGTACAGGTGGACTCTTGGTAGCTTGCTGTGCTCTCCAAGAGGTATCTATCTTATCTATCTATCTATCTATCTATCTAGATAGGTAAGTTGTTGCTTTCTGTCTGAACCCCATCAAATCTGGTGTGGCAATTATGGAGAATGGGTAGGAAGTGTCTTGTGATATGTCGCAGCCGTGTGGTCCAGGAATATGTTCACTCATGTGAGGCTCGGCCCAAGCAAGTAGGGAGTGGCCTGGAGCGTGGCTGCGGTTGGGTTGTGGAGGTCAGTTGCTGGGGCTGGGTCCCTTGGGGCGGGGAGGGCTCCCACTCGTCCCCCTCTGGGGCATCCTGCGTGAAAAAAGCCTGGTGCAGAGTCTGGTGTCATGGTTATGGGGTCCTCATTTTATGCTCCCTTCTGGAGGGTGGCCGATGAGAAGATTATCTGGCACAAGCAGGGTGTGGCTTATCGGTGTGAGCCGTGGGTCACCGGAGACTGGAGGAAGCAGGCAGAGGATCTCTGCTCCTGGCTACCGTTTAAGCCCGGAGTCCAAGGTCATAAAGTTCTGCATTACCTGGGTTCCGTAGGACTTCACTCATCCGTGAGCTTCAGCCCGAGCATATGGAAAGTGGCCTGAGCATGGCAGCAGTTGGGTAGTGGAGGTCACTGCTGGGGCTGGGTCCCTTGGGGCACCCCAAGTGAAAACAGCCTGGCACGGAGTCCAGTGGCATGGTTATGGGGGCCTCATTTTATGCTTCCTTCTGGAGGAACAGCTATGAGTTCTGGAGGGTGGCTGATGACGAGGTTATCTGGCGCTGGCAGGGTGTGGCTTATGGCTTATGCTAATATTAGAGTTAATTATAATTTGGGACACTTCAGAGCCTTGTATTGCTCCCCAATTCAGAACATTCTTTAGTTCCTTTTGCCCAGGCTGAGCCTACTGGACTCCAATCAATATTTTTTCCATAAGAGGAATCAATATAGATTCTAGCTTTTTCTCCTCTACATCGTTTCCAATATATCCAGTTTTCTAATTCAATAACTTTAGGGAGTTCACATAGGAGGCAGAGATGGTAGAGTATCATAACTTTCACTTCCAGTATCCAGAAACCCATTTGCTGCGAGCAATAACAATGGTTTTTTTTTTTTTTTGCATTTTGGGTCACACCTGGCAATGCTCAGGGGTTACTCCTGGCTCATGCACTCAGGAATTGCTCCTGGCGGTGCTCAGGGGACCATATGGGGTGCTGGGAATCGAACCTGTGTTGGCCATGTTGGCTGCGTGCAAGGCAAACGCCCTACCCGCTGTGCTATTGCTCGAGCCCCAATGTTTTTTTTTTTTAAGCAATGGTTTTTTATTGCTTCAGTAGATTCAGTAGAATTGTGATATTCAGCCATTCAGTATTGCGTGTGTGTTTTTAAGCAATGACTCCCGTTGCTAGTGCAGATAGGCATCCCTTCCACCCTGATAACATATTCAGGAAAATTTGTGCCTTCTTCTTTGGGTTTGATTAGGTCTCTACCATCAGCCTGGCACCAAGTCTGGTGGCACGGCTATGGGGTCCTCATGTTATGTTCCCTTCTGGGAGAAGTAGCCCTGTGATCTGGATGCTGGCTGATGACGAGATTATCTAGCGCTGGCAGGAGGTGGCTTCTGGGAGTGACCCCTGTGTCACTGAAGACTGGGGGAAACAGGCAGAGGATCTCTGCTTCCGGGTCCTGTTGAGCCCAGAATCCAAGCTCACAAAGTTCCACATTACCTGGGTTCCTTGGGACTTCACTCATGCGTGAGACTCAGCCCGAGTGAGAGGGGAGTGGCCAGGAGCATGGTGGTGGTTGGGTTGTGGAGGTCGACTGCCGGGCTGGGTCCCACAGGAGTAGGGGGGGGAATGAGAGAGACAGGCCCATCCCCTATCCCTGGAGGCCTGGAGTTTGCTGTCACTGAAACTGCATACCTGCACTTCTCATTGGGTTCTGGATGTTGGTGGCCCCTGGGATTTTTAGGGGGCAGGTGGGACCCTGGAGGTCATGCCCACAAACTGCCTCTGGCTGCTTCTTAAGCTCCTTAATGGTCATGATCCAGAGATACACAAAAGAATTTCTGAACTGAGCAGCTCTCTGCCTTCTCCCCATCCTAATTATCTAAAACTTTAGAATTCCAGGAACACACAGCCACTTTTGTGGCCGAACGGCATTGTACTATTCATAACAAGCAATACAAACGAGAGTATGAGGGAAATTGTCTGCCATAGAGGCAGGGGGAGGGGTGGGATGGGGGCGGGTATACTGGGGACATTGGTGGTGGAAGATGTGCACTGGTGGAGGGTTGGGTGTCCTATCATTGTATGACTGAAACTCAAACAGGGAAGCTTTGTAACTGTATCTCACGGATTCAATGATTTTAAAAAATAAATAAATAAAATTACCATTCTGAAAATAAAGTAATGTGGAGTTCATGCCAAATTCAATTAGCTTAATCAATGGCTGAATAAATACCAGTACCCCTACAAAAAGAGGGAGAGAGAGAGACTGAGAGAGAGAGAGAGAAAGAAATAAACAAGCCTTAAAAAAATTAAGTGAATTAAATGTCAGAAAATCAACTTACAGTTTTTCTAGCTTAAGATTCATCATGAGGATGTTTTGAACTGCTGCAAGTGTCACTTGTGTTGCTCCCATGTCTCTGAGGGAGAAAGCACAAGCATGATGTGAATCCAAATACAGAAGCTCTAGAGTTAAATAGATGAGATAAATGAAGTGATAACTTTGATTCTGGCTTTGCTGTAAATCCAGGTCAACTGTTTGCTGTAGACTATAATTCCAGAGAGCTCTTGCTGATAAAAGACTTTTCTATCATCAAATTAATGACACTTTGGAGAATAAAAAAATTTCCTTCCTTCCTTCCTTCCTTCCTTCCTTCCTTCCTTCCTTCCTTCCTTCTTTCCTCCCTCCCTCCCTCCTTCCTTCCTTTTCTCCCTCTCTCTCCCCTTCCTTCCCTCCTTCCTTCTCTTCTTCCCTGATTCCCTTCTTCCTTCCTTCCTTCCTTCCTTCCTTCCTTCCTTCCTTCCTTCCTTCCCTCCCTCCCTCCCTCCCTCCCTGCTTCCTTCCTTCCTTTCTTCCTTCCTTTCTTGTCCGACTTCTCATTCTAAATTGTATCTACTCCTTTCAATGATTCTTTTTCATGTGAGCTGCGGGTGGCCTTGGATTTTGGCCACATCTGATAGTACATGGGGGATATGTTGGGCACTGTACTTGTGGGTTACTCTGAGTAGAGATCTGGGGAACACATAAGGGGCCAGAGGTCGAATCCAGGCCTCCAAGCAAGCAGTGCATGGGCTCCAACCACTCACCTATCTGGTCCTCTTTTCTTTACTTTCTTTTTTCAATAATGTGTCCATTATTACTTGTTACTTTCTGAATAAATAATACTTCTACACGTATCTGTATGTTTCTTATCTATATGTACTCAACATAGCTCTTTTCCTCTGTTGGCTGTTGCCCATGTCATTCTTTCTTAATCTTTTCCTTTGAGAATAACTGTCATTTCAATAATCCAGTGTTAAAATTAAAATTATAACTTTTAAATTCAATGCAAAACACTTTATCTTTGACAGAAGTGGAGAAAAATAAAGACAGCAAATCATAGCAGAAACCATATAAGCTACAAACTTATTACAATACTTACAGATATTTTAATGCTGGCAATTTAAAAAGATAGGAATCTTCAATAGCTGTTAGGGGATTATGGCTGAGAATTCTAAAAAAGAATTAAAATTATATGCATAATCAGTATGTAGCATTAAAATTTATATTTAATTTATTGGCATGAAAAGGTAAAGGTAAAGGTAAAGGCCCTCCCGTTGATCATCGATTTGCTCGAGCGGGCCCAGTAACGTCTCCATTGGAGACTTTGTTGTTACTGTGTCTGGCACATCAAATACGTCACGGGGAGCTTGCCAGGCTCTGCCGTGCAGGCGAGATACTCTCGGTAGCTTGCCGGGCTCTCCAAGAGGGGCGGAGGAATCGAACTCGGGTCGGCCATGTTGGCCGCTTATAATCACGCTTAGAATCCATAAAGCATTCTTTTTTTTTCTTTTTGGGTCACACCTGGCGATGCACAGGGGTTACTCGTGGCCCATGCGCTTAGGAATTACCCCTGCTGGTGTTCGGGGGGAACATATGGAATACTGGGAATTTAACCCGTGTCAGCCGTGTGCAAGGCGAACACCCTACCCGCTGTGGTATTGCCCCAGCCCCAAGAATTCTCCCTTTGAGAAACACCCAAGTCTCTAGATGACAAAGTGAAGGGGAACCGGGGGGGGGGGGGGGAGAAAATAAATGTAGAGCAAAGAAAAAATATGCTGACAAATTTTTCCAAGTTGAAAACTCTAGGAATAGGGGCCAAATAGAACAGCAAGTGGGGCACTTGCCTTGCATGCAGCCCACTTGTGTTTCATTCCTGGAACCTTACACAGACCCTGGAACACACCAGGAGTGATCCCTGAACACAGCGTCAGGAGTAAGCGCTGGGCACCACTGGGCATGTCTCCCCATCAACCCCAAAGAAGAAATAAAACCCTAGGAGTGATGATGTCTGCAGAAGTCCTTGCTCTGCAGCAAATATTATTTCTAATGGATGCCTCTACAATTCAAAATGTTTCTTACACCCTGAGAAATTCAAACTACTTCATGACAACACACCCAGCTAAAGATTAAAATAGGGTCAATCCTTGGTTTTGGACAAAGAAGACATGGTCAATGGAAGAGGAGCTGTTGGAAGCTGTCTTCTTACCAGTCATTCCCACAGAGATCTTTGTGCCCTGACCTTTGTCACGCTGTATGTGATCACGGACTCACCTGTCAGTCTCCTGGACTTTCAGCTTCTTGAATGCCAGGGTCACCTGACTGTCACTGGTCTGACGATATCGGGTATTTACTAGACACTTCAGAAATAACATTATGGATATATTGGTCAAATGAACCAGTTCCTGCCCTCCCTCCCTCAGTTCCTCTCTCTTTTCTTTCTTTCTTTGGTTTGTGGGTCACACCCAGGAATGCTCAGGGATTACTCCTGGTGGTGCTTAGGGGACCATATGGAATGCCAGGCATCGAACCTTGGTCAGCCGCCTGCAAAGCACGCACCTTTCCTGCTATATTATCACTCCAGTACCAGAAGCAGTTCATTTTTGACAAAAGATTTTGTTCCAAGATGCTAGAATGAATTTTCTTCTTTTAAAAACATGCAAACTCTTTAAAACAAGCAAAGAAATACACAGGAGGGGAAAAAAACAGAAAGAAATTTTCAGTAAACTCTATTCAAGAAACACTGGCATACCCTTGCAGGATAGATAGATAGATATAGATATACATAGATATATATCCGCCACGCTCCGGGCTCCTTTCCAGATGCTCAGGCCAAGCCTCACGCATGAGTGTAGCCCCACAGAACCAGGTGAGGTGGGACTTTGTGACCTTGGACTCCAGACTCAATGGGGCCCGGAAACAGAGATCCTCTGCCTGCTTCCCCCAATCTCTGGAGACCCAGGGATCATGCCCATAATATCCACCCTGCAGGTGCCAGATAAATACCTCATCTGCTGACCTCCACTACGCAGCTGCCCCCATACTGCAGGCCGCTTTCTGGACAGTGTGGCCACAAAGCGCCATGCAACACAGCATAAGACACTTAATACCCATTTTCCAAAATTACCGCACCACTTTTTATGGGGTTCAAATATGGTGTAAACTATGGGAATGCCTGTAACGGTGATTAGAGGCCTCCCTAAAAGCCTCCATCCCTCTCAGAGAGCCTGGCAAGCTACAGAGAGTATCCCGCCCACACGGCAGAGCCTGGCAAGCTCCTGCCGACCTCACACATGAGTGTAGCCTCACAGAAGCAGGTGAGGTGGGACTTTGTGACCTTGGACTCCAGGCACGTACCCGTGGCATATTTGATATGCCAAAAACAGTAAAAACAATGGGCCTCATTGCCTTAACCTGAAAGAGCCCCCAATACGGCAGTGTTAATAAGGATAAACAAAGAGAGGCTGATAAAATCTCAGGGCCGAACTAGGCTGCCAAAACGAAGGACTAAAATGACTTTACTTTCAACGAACGTACGCTAGCATCCGAAGCACCCATCAAGGACCTGATGGTGCAATCGCAGATTAAGTATGACATCATTAGTCTGACCGAGATGAGAAGGCATCGATCACATCATGCCATTTACAACACTGGAGAAGAACTGTTCCTTGGAACATGTGACAATAGAGGCATCGGTGGTGTTGGTGTCCTGGTCAACATGAACTTGGCCATGAGCATTGATTCATATGAATGCCTAACAACCCAAATCAGACGATTACGCTTGAATAGATGTGGCTCACTGCTGGCAGTTTCCATCTTTGTTGTCTATACACCAATATCCAACTACGATGAAGAAGGTATTGAGAAGTTCTACATGGAGCTGAAGAAGTTCTATAAAGAAGACCACACCTCCTACAAGATCACTGTAGGTTATTTTAATGCCAAGATAGGACTGAGGAGGTTGCCCGAAGAACTCCACATTGGGACCAATGGCCTAGAATGGAACGAACAGGGTGAGAGACGATCTGAGTTCACCTTGTTGACCAAGACCATACATGGTAACTCACAGTTCCAGAAGGCCAAATCTAAACATTGGACATGGGAGTCCCCTGGGGGACAGTTCCACAGTGAAATTGACCACATCATTTTCAATGGACCGTTTTGCCTGACTGATGATGCTGTTGTCCCAAAATTCCAAAACGGATAGGACAACCATCTCCTTCATGCAAAATTCTACTTCACAGAGCAGGGAGAAAAGACTGCAAAGTTTAAGAAGAGAACTTCCAGAATGACCACCAAATGGGAGCTCTTTGGCACTACTGAGGCAACGTAGGAAGATGCCGTCGCTGACATCAACGAGGAATCCAATTGACTGGTTCAGCACCTCCATGACTGCTCACGGAATGCCAAGAGTGGGAAAGTCACAAACAGATGCCTGTCTTAGGAAACTCTCGAGCTCATTTGCCAACGTGGTTTGCAGCAAGCCTCTGGCAATCACAAGCTAATGTCCGAGCTCGCAAAGCTGTGCAGAAAAGCGATAAAGGAAGACCTCAAAGAGAGAAGAGCAATAGTGTTGGCTGATGCGGCAGAAGCTGGGAAAAATATTCGCAACACCTGCCTGTCCTTCGCCAACTATAAGTAAGACCAAGATGACTGCCCTCCGATGTCCTGTTTGATCTATCACATCTTCCAGAAGGGAAATGGAGAAGATTGTTCACGACTTCTACTTGGATCTCTTCGATAGCCATGTCCAAGTGCCCACATACAAATTCCGCAGGATGGATATGTCGTTCCCAACGTCCTCCTTTCCGAAATCCGACACGCCATTTCGTTGGTAAGAAGTGTACACCACCTGGCCCAGACAAGGTCAGACCCAAACACCTGAAGAATCTGACACCAGTACTGGTCAATACACTGGCTTGGCTCTTCACACTCTACCTATCTGAATGCAAGGTTCCTTCCCAATGGAAAACCAGCAGGACCATTCTGTTGTACAAGAAGGGAGACATCCAGGACATTGGCAACTATCGCCTGATCTGCCTGTTGTCCATCATCTACAAGCTGTCATCCTGAATAGGACTGGCAGAACACTAGAAGATGGACAACCATGCGTGCAAGCCGAGTTCCGAAAGAGATTCAGCGTGATCGACTATATCCACTACGCTCACTGAGATTTCGCAAGAGTTCAAGATGCCAAAGATGCCACTCTGCCTAACGTTCATCGATTTAAAAAAGGTCTTTTATTCTGTTGAGACTGACGTGGTCATCGAAGCCCTAGCCCAACAGAGCAGTCAAACTCAGTACATCAGGATCCTCTGTGGCTGTATTATGGATTCACCACTAGGACCTCACCATTCTACAAGAAAGTGATCATCGATGTTAAGAGAGGGGTTTGGCAGAGCGATACCATTTCACTGAAACTCTTCAGTGCCACCCTCAAGAACGTCATGTGATGACTGGAATGGGAAGGAATGGGAGTAAAGATATACAGTCAGCAACTACACCACCTCTGCTTCGCTGATGACATCGTTCTAATAACAGCAAACATTAACCAAGCATCACAACTGCTGGACGACTTTGACCGTGAGCATGAAAAGGTCAGACTGCAGCTGAACCTCACAATGCCTGGGAGGCTGGAGAGATAGCACAGCGGGTAGGGCACTTGCCTTGCACGCGGCTGACCCGGGTTTGATTCCCAGCATCCCATATGGTCCCCTGAGCACTGCCAGGAGTAACTACTCCTGAGTGCAGAGCCAGGAGTAACCCCTGTGCATTGCCAGGTGTGACCCAAAAAGCAAAAAAAAAAAAAAAAAAAGAAAAGAAAAATAACGACTGCCCGCCCAATATGGGCATTCCTTAAAAAACTAGAAATTGAGCTTCCATATGACCCCAAAATACCACTTCTGGAAATATATTCCAAGGGTACAATAAAGCACAGTAGAAATGACATCTGCACCTATATGTTCATTGCAGCATTGTTCACAATAGCCAGAATCTGGAAACAACCTATGTGCCCGAGAATAGATGACTGGTTAAAGAAACTTTGGTACACCTGCACAATGTAATACTATGCAGCTGTTAGGAAAGATGAAGTCATAAAATTTGCTTGTAAGTGGAAGGTCATGGAGAGTATCATGCTAAGTGAAATGAGTCAGAAAGAGAGGGACAGACATA